ACTCACAGGATGAGCGACGCTGCCCAATACTGTCACTATGGCGGTGTGTCCACTCACAGGATGAGTGACGCTGCCCAATACTGTCACTATGGCGGTGTGTCCACTCACAGGATGAGCGACGCTGCCCAATAAACTCGCCCCTCGGGGCAAAATTAAACTAATAAAGCCAATATACATCAAAGCAAAACTTCAAGTTTCTAAGTAAGAACTTTAAAAGATAAACAGGTTAGTGAGACGAAATGTGTGTGTGTGTGGGGGGTGACGTCAACCAGGGGGAGGGGGGGTGGGGGGGTGGGGGGGGTGGTTGACGTCAAAGGAGGATGTTGCATGAGCAGTTCCGGACGTCACTCCAGCACACCTGGTCACTACCTAGTGACGTCAATGTGGTTTAGCACACATTACATGCCTGAGAAGCCCCATTACCTCTAACCCTCCTATCCCATCTATTCCCCCCCCCCCCCTCTTGCTGGGTTGGTACACACACACGTGTAGCCCCCTGCTCTTCTCTCCCCACCCCCCCCTTTTCCTCCTTCCTGTCACACCATCTCTTCCCCTTTCCTGTTTTCCGGCTGTCTTTACCTAATCCTCCCTATTAACTTCACTTACCCATTTCTCCTCTTCTCTTTCCAGCCTCTGAAACTGATCTCTCTTCCCTAAGCCCTTTTGTCTGACTATATTCCCTTACCTCTACTCCACTATTTATCATATCTATGGCTCCATCTCTCTTGGCAGTGTTGTAATGCTTTTTCAGTCTCCTCTCAACCATAAAAATGGTCTGCGTTCGAGTTTTTTTTGCTCTCAAAAAGTTTTATTGGTGCACGTTCAGAGTTTAAGTTCACTGATCATAAACTATTATTTTTATCACGTTCTTTTTCCTCTTTCGGCATGCTAGCTCTTTGATGGGTAGTTATTTTTTCAACCCGTCCTCGACTCAAGTCTATTCCATCCAGCGGTCGACCCCACAGACGCATTCATAAATGTTAACATGCTGTTCATTCAAAACAGGAATGTTCTCAAATATAAATTAATATTATAATATATTTGCATATTGGGCATAGGTTAGGTTAGGTTAGGTTAGGTGTTTAGGTTCTGTTGGCGATTATTTGTATTTGTAGTACGTGGGTGAAGCATTTATAGCGTTGTGGTTCGAACACCAGTCGTCAGTGAAGCACTTGTTCCGGAAGTGTTCGAACGATATCAGTTGCGAGTCGTGTGTAAACCGCTTTTCATTCGTAAACAGGGAGAGCCGGTCTGCCGAGCGGACAGCACGCTGGACTTGTGGTCCTGTGGTACCGGGTTCGATACCAGGCGCCGGCGAGAAACAATGGGCAGAGTTTCTTTCACTCTATCCCCCTGTTACCTAGCAGTAAAATAGGTACCTGGGTGTTAGTCAGCTGTCACGGGCTGCTTCCTGGGGGTGGAGGCCTGGTCGAGGACCGGGCCGCGGGGACACTAAAGCCCCGAAATCATCTCAAGGTAACCTCAAGATAACTCAAGGGGGTTTGGCGGGTGCATGGAATCACTTTTGGGTCTTTGTTTGGAGGACGGGCTGTATATTTTATGGGAGAGTATTCCTAACTTCTCCAGATACTCAAATATCAGTACACTCTGGTCACTCATTCTCAAGGGGGCGTCCAACTTAACTTCCCTTATATCTGCCTCATTCAGGGTGAACATTAGATGAGGTCCTCTCATTCTTGTGGGGTCCCTTGACGTGTTGGCTTAAAAAAGTTTCTTGTTGCCACGTCCAGCAGCTTA